CACTTGCAATGAGTTTTGCCCGAGTTTTACCTGCGTTCCGCCCTGAGTTTTACCTGAGTACGCGGATTTAGAGTGAGTTTTACCATTGGACAAAATGGCAACTCAGTCATTACTCAGAAAAGTGAGTAAAAATTTTTTTCAGTGTGTCACGGCACGGGTGGCACGGGATAGCACGTGTCGCAGACTGCCCGTGCAGCGGGGTCGCCACGTGCGCTCCGCTCTGCCGCCGCTGCCAGCGCCGTATTCACTATATGAGATGTCAGTAGTCCGTTCACGGCGCGCCTGAGACAGACCTGAGGCGGGTTCATCGTGCGCTGGCCGCCGTAAATGGAACTATACACGAAAAGCCCGGGGCTGACAGACAGTGGACGGACAGTACCGCGGGACGAGGTGAGGCGGAGCTGTCAGTGGCCGGCGGGACGCCAGCGGGGCCCAAGCGGCACGGCACGCAGCCAGAGGACCGCTAGGCTGACAGACATCAGCGCTCAGCGGGTGAGACATCAGCGGTCAGCGGATGACAGACTCGTCAGAGGATGACAGACATTAGCCGTCAGCGTTCAGCATGTTTCAGAAGGATAGTCGGGAGTCAACGGCCTCTGTCCATTGGCATCACACATCCTTCATTAGCCACCCATCCTATCCATTCAGAGAGCCATCCGTCAGAGGTCGTCAATGCCACCCAGGCAGCTAGCAGGCAGCTGCCAACAGCTGGCCGCACTGCCAGGTGATATCAACGGTCGAAGCTGGAGTAGTGCTCAGCAGCCAGCGACTCGACAACAGACTGCTCCATTTCACCGCCAATCCTTCTCACTCCGTCTGGCTGCAGCGCTCTATCGGCACACTGGGAGAGGACGCCAGCCCAGTGAGGGGAGGATGTGTTACGCGCACAGCGCGTATTTCTGGGACGATCGACTCCAGCAGGGTTTGCAGGGCTCTGATGAGGTCGAAAGTGTCGTCAGGCGGGTGACGGAGCGACTCAGTGTGTTTTCTCAGGCGACCCGCGCGGTGGGAAGATTCCCTGCTCCGCGTGTCTCTCGACACTGGCGGTGATTAGAGACCTGCTCCATCATGGTTCGGCGAGAAAGGAGGTAACCGCAGGACGGAGCGCTCTAAAAACAGCGGCGGGGACGGCCGTGGAGGTCGCTGGCTGCCCTGGTTTCGGACTTACTAAAGCAAATCTGTAATGGAACTGCCTAGCAGTATTGATAATTGGGGCGTGCTAGGAAGTCAACTGCAAATGGGCAACTGCTTTGTTGTCCGCGTTCTACCAAGTCGCCAAAACATGACCGATGCGCACCGACTACCGAGTCAATGCAACGGGAACATCCCGTGTTTCCCATCCAAAAGCATCGACCCTCACGAGTCCAGCAACAAAAGCCCATCAGCTCATCAATAAAGTATTCGCCCGAGGGACAGGGTCATTGAAGGGCGACTCCACCCCACTACGGAAACCCAATATGGGGAGTTGGCAATATCAGCCCGTTCCGTCTGACTGCTCCTGATCCCATTGCCGTCTCTGCCAACACACGGGGACGGCCAGTACCGACCCCACGGACGAGGGGAGGAGCTGTATTTAATTACGCCAGCGCAGGGGCGCAGCAATAGGAACATTTCGTGACGCCGCTCTCTCAGTCGATAATGGCTGAATGGCCAGAGGGGCGGTACAGCCAAAACAATGCCCCCGATCGCCCGTGGCAGTGCGCGGAGCAGCGATAACCGCCGGAGGGCAGTGTGAGGTATGTACCCCTCGGCTGGCCGACCGTCCCTATCTGCGGCTCTCCGTCTGCTCGATAGAAGGTTATCAACTATGGGGCACGTGTCGCTGCTAAATACAGTGAGACACCATGGTTTCAGTCGTCCGCCTCGACATCAGACTTGACCCGCTAGGCCGGCCCTGACGGGACGTGCCTCGCCGTCCGATGGCCGTCTACAATAGCACCACGCAGTCACACAGGTCACGTACTGGATATGTGTGCGGTGCGTCCTGCTCCGCCGAGCGCACACGCACGTTACGACCCCGGACCCACATCGTGACCCCATAGTTAGAACCTCGCACTGAATCACTCTCTAAGACCGTAATTCTCGTCTGTGTAATCGACGACGGTCAGCGCACAACGACGAAGGCAGAGCCGGTGGCAGCGATGGGGATTGGCGTTGTGTGCGATGTTGATGGCGCTTAGTTGGATGGGCAGCCAAGTGGTGTTTATGAATGCCGGGGGCGGGGCGGTCGCCGTCAGCAGTGTTTGACCAGGGCTCGCCGCTTGGTCGCACGCCACCGGTCGCCAAAGGGTGGTCCATTGACCGGTCAGCCGGCAGGCAGCGGTCCGAGCAGCAGGCAATCAATAGCACCACCTACCGCCCCCTACCACCCGGGCCGGGCGGGGGCGGGGGCGGGGGCGGCAGCCTGTTGGTGTACCGGCGGCGATAGACAACACAGACAACGGAAATAGAGGTGGCAGCGAAGACAAACAAGTGGCGGCAGCAGCACGGAAGAGGAAATAGCTGCCGACGAACGGTGCACGATATACTCGCTTAGGATAATGTATTACGACATTGGGTAAAATAAAGGAACGATACGTTTACCTACTTTTCCCTTATTTTGTATTTATTCACATATAAAAAGAAATACTTTGCATTCTTATAACTAACTGGAGGCTGAAACCAAGCAAAGCTTACATAAAATCGGCTGAGGTCCGGCATGACGTCTATCACTCGGCAAACATCAGAGCATATTGTCCACGAAAGCAAATTGTCGACAGACCATTGAACAAACACAGAATGCAGACCATTGAACAATTCGTATTCCGTCGAGCCAGAAAATCGGTCCCCAGTTGTCAGCCCTCGCGCCGATCTCTCGCGGGAGGTGGAAAACTTGGCTCTCGGCAGAGGAAATAGCCTTCTTGGACCGGAGCGACGAAGCGCAAAAACATGTAGCGAAAGGAATTTCCGGAAAAATACTCGGAGAAGGAGTTCAGCTGGCGATAGGCGAATGAGACAGAACAGGATCGGTGGACTCCTTTCTTGGACCACGAACCAGATAGAGTGAGATGGCAAGAAACGAACTGCAATTGAGCTCTCCTGGTTCCTTTGCGCCAGTATACTGGCGCATCCATACGTTATAACGTATGGATATCGGAATTCCGGGCGGGGAAGGTCGTGTCAAGGACCTGTCAAAGCTCCTGTTAGAAAGTCTATTTTCGTCCTATTTCGGTAGCCAATGAGACAAGTGACATCAATCATTTCTGATAACTAGCTATCAGCCGCGGTAATAGCGTATCATTGAAATATATCAGACGAGAGGACGGGTTCAGTTCAGAATTGATGGCTATTGATTTCGTGTCCGGTGGGAGTAGAGCGCCCTTATAACCGGTCACCCATGTCACTGACCGTCGCGGCGCGGCGGGCGCTCCAAATGTCACAGCGCCCGTCAGTGGGGCTTCATCCGGAGGGCTATCATTTTCCGAGGCGCGCCGCCCTTCCGGTATCTAAAAATACGACCGCGCCAGGAGCTCCGATCACATAGTAACCACGCGGCGGCGGTCCATCTGCCACGCACGGCCCGCCGGCCTGACAGCGCTGTGATTGGCTCCTGAATCTCTCCTCTAGCAGCGCTCACTGTTGTCGAACAGGCTTCGGCTGTCGGCCGTGCCAAGCCGGCCGGAACCACACAGAGATCAATGGGATAATAAACCCATCGAGTCACGTATAAAGCCACCAACGCCGGCGGTAGGTCGACGAAAGACAACCTTCAGATCAAGGTATTCAAGTGATGCCTATTTTTAGACGAGCTAATACTATAAGAGATAAATAGCCCCACGAAAAGCCCGTTTGTGAAACAGCGTCGGCAAAGCGTGAGACAACAGAGGAGATCCGAACTGACAGCCGTACAAATGTGAACGGGATTTCCATTCAAATGGGGTGCAGAGAGGTCAATTAACTGTGACTGGAAGTTTCGCTGAACTAAAGAGATCGACGAATTGTTGGCACTATCGGTGACGGACATTACGGTGGCCCGAACGATTATAGACGAACGTTGCACCATGGCTTTGTAAATACGGAAATAAGGGTATATTTTCACTTCTGATCTATCCGTCGCCCCGAGATAGGAAATTAAATAGATTATGTTCGTTTACCTTTAGTGGAAAAATGATGTAAGTTTCTAAAAATATCGATGTTTAATGAAAAAAAAAATTACGCACGGCGATTTTAAACGGTAAAGCATTTTAAACACGTATTAGCGAGGTCCCTAGGAAGAAGAGCTCAGACCATGGTTTTGCAGGCTTGACCACCCGGCACAAAGTCAGCTGTGACCGTTCAAACTACCGACTGTCGGGACTGGCGACGGGTGTTAAAGGCCAAGTCGAGCCAGACCCGGAACCAGTCGCGCCCTACACCGACAGCCCGACAACGAAACCCCTCGGCAGGGCTGGCACGCGCCACGACCATAAAACCGGCACAGGCAGTCTGAGCCTCTCTGGCCGGGCGGTCCGGACAATATACCCGGCCCAGACGCTGTTTATCTGCCAGCATCGGGTGGGCATCAGCTCTGCAGCTCATAACGGTGGGGAGAGAGAGAGAGAGAGAGAGGGAGGGAGAGAGAGAGAGAGAGAGAGAGAGAGAGGAGGAGAAGGAGGAGGAGTAGGAGGAGGAGGAGGAGGAAAAGGAGGAGGAGGAGGAGGAGGAGGAGGAGGAGGAGGAGGAGGAGGAGGAGGAGGAGGAGGAGGAGGAGGAGGAGGAAAAGGGGGACCCTCTGAAGGAGGAGAACTAAAGTCGTAAAGCTTGCCACATACGACGACCATGCACAAGTTAATTAAGCCGACACTGACAGGGACGGAGATATGGCTTAGTGAGAGCCACAAACGACCTCTGGAAAACCGCAGAGTGGCGGGCGGAGTTGGACATCCCTACGGTTAGTCAGGAGACTTCCCCACTCGAGCTGCGCACAGGATAGGAGTCAAAGCGTCAGGTTAGGTCGAGGCGAGATCTGCAGCAGCGCTCACCTTGTGTGCCTTGGCGATGACGGCCAGGGATTGGAGCTCGTGGCCGCGGTGCTTGCCGTCCTGCACGCAGCTGTTACACACGGCCAGCTTACAGTCGACGCAGTAGTTGACCAGCGGCTGGCCGGGGTGGTCGGAGCAGCTGCAGGGCACCGGGTGGCGCGCGCTGGCCGACGGAGCGCCGCCGCGGCCCGCCCGCGGCTCGGTTAGACGGTGCTGCGCCAGGGGACCGCGGCTGGGGTGACATCGCTCCCGGCACGGCTCGCAGTAGAGCACCTCGCACTGCTCACAGAGAACGGCCGCGTCGCGCGGGCTCGACTCGCACAACTGACACTTGAGCACTACGTCCTTAGCCTCGACGTACCGGTCCACGACTTTCTGCAGGGTGCGGTAGCGCGGCAGGTTGTACGCGCCGTGCTCGTCAAAGTAGACGTGTTTGCCGCACTTGCGACAGAGCAGGGCGAGCGCGGCCGGTTCGGGCGATCCCAGGTAGGAGGCGGGCCGGCTGCCGCCGCTTCCGCACACCACACCACTGTCCGTCTCACTGGCCACGGATAGTTTGTCCACGTCTGAGCCCGAGGTGTCCGACTCGTCCGGGTCGGGCCGCGCGGTGACCGCGGACGGCGGACACTGGCGCTGCAGCGCACAGTTCAGACACATGGCGTGACCGCATGGCAGCAGCACCGGATTGCTGTAGATCTGCTGGCAGACGGGGCAGCGCAGCTCCTCCTCCATGGCAGCACGCGGCGCGCCGTCCACCCCCGGCACACGCACCCCCCTCCGCCGGCACCAGCAGAAGACTGACGGCACGCGCGCCGCCGCCGACCGCCGACTGCCGACCGCTCCACCGAGCCGCGCGCGCAGGCGCACTACACTGGCCGGCACGCGGGCCGTCGGCGGCCCCTCCGTGATTAGTATCGACGTCGTACTGAAGGTGTTTCTCCAGCGGAGAGGGAGGAAAGGGGAGGGCTCTGCTCACGGTCCCGCCGACGCCCCCTTGAAAGGCTGTTTATGGTTCCGGCGGGAGGCATATGAGCTGTTTTATGACCCCGACTGCGCCGGAGGTCTGAGTCATTTTCGCACGCTTTTGAAAAATTAAAGCAGCTCGTCCCGCTCTATGTGCTCACTGCTGTCATGCCTTGAGACCCAGGACATCTAATCGACTAGCGACTTGTCAAACTTGGTGATATTAAATTCCCGAGCGCCCTCGCTAATAGTTAGTACTTACCCTTACCCTCACTGCGATGGTATCGACAACCCATTTATCTCCCATACGCCGTACCCACACACAAATTTAATTTATATCGGCCATTAACCTTCAGCGTGCGCCGTGAGCCCACAAAAGTTCTGCAGAGTAGATATATTACACCCCATAGGCGTAGGAACAGGGGGGGCCGGGGGGGCCATGGCCCCCCCACTTTCGGAGGTGGGGGGGCCAGCAATGTTAACTGGCCCCCCCACTTTTTGCTGACTTAACCTTCGCCCCAGTGGGGGGGGGGGGCATATGTTACCACCCTGTCGCGTTTTTTGCGTGTGAATAAAAAACCGCGGCGCGTAGCGCCGCGCCGCTTGGGGTAGCTTTTGGTACATCAATTTTGGACAATGTGTGAAATTTTTGACCCCAGGTCATGTCAGGTCAGGTCACCAGGTCAAGTTAACTGACCAAGCCTAAAAAAAAGTTTGCAATCATGTCCAGCCTGCAGTGTTTGTCAGAAAGGTTTCAAACTTGGTGGATTGCATGCTGTTATGGGCGCCTACAATTTATATATCTCGGATTTTTTATATCCGTGACCTAAGGTCAGGTCAGTGGCGAAACCTTTCCATTACAAGTCAATGGAGAAAAATGAAAATGCCTCTAGATCCGTGTGTACGGATCGGAACAGTCCAAATATTTCAGAATCACAATGATTTAGTCCACTCGTGATGACCAAGGTGTCATTTTTGCTGATAGCCTCTAGACAGGTCATCCGAGGTCACTTGAGGCTACAAACAGTTTTTTGCCAATAACTCGCGATTGGAAAGAGATAGAACGCTGGGGATGGTCTCATTGTGTTTGCCTTGTTGAGACGCATCGACTGATATGCAACATGATCTTTTCCGGTAAGGTCATGACCTTGACCTGAGGTCAAATTTTCAACTTGACCTTTCAAGGTCAAGTTATAGTTCATTCGACGCGTCTCGGCGAGAGGAACACGATTCTGGCAATAGAAATGTCGTGGCTTTTTGTAGTCGAAAGTTATTGTCGAAAAACACTTTTCGTAAAAACAGCTATTTTTTGGACTTTTTGCCCTCTGGAGGCTAAACCGGTGACCTGAGGTCAATATTGATAATGACCTTTTCAAAAGAAGAGTTCAAAAGCTATCGATTGCTTTTCCCTGCGTTATTCTAGCTACCATAGTTCCTGAGATAGCGGCATGTTTTCTGAAAAATATAATGACAATTGGCAAATTTTGACCTTTGATGACCTCTGGTGACCCCAATATTGCTCTAAGGTGAAAAATGACTGAAATACTTTCAAACGTACGCATTGAAAGCTATCGACTGCTTTTTACTGCGTCTTTCTAGCCCTCTTAGTTTTTGAGTTAGAGGTGGGTGGTAACATATGCCCCCCCTCACTAGGGCGAAGTTGGCTGAGACCGCCACTGGGGCGCGGGTTAAGTGTCTGTCTGTACCTAACCTACCACCCGGTAACTGGACAACTATTCAGCTTGCCCTTTAATGAGGATTCCTTTTTGTTTCTACAGCGTTATTGACCGCAATTTCCTTCACTCAATGAAGGAAACCATATCAGAGACAAGACTGTGAGTCCTGGTGACAGCATTTTGTTGAATACGAGGCGCGGGACAGCGAGCACTAAAAAGGTATAGGCAATACTAAGACAATACTAGCAAGGTGCAGGAGAATGCGTATACAAACGACCAACGCTTGACCTTATCTGCTTGGGGTCGGCATAGTTCGTCAAAGGCGTACTAGCTGGGGGCCAGGGTGACCGTGCCTCAGCCTCGGTTCAAGCAGGCTGGGGGCCAGCAATGTCTGTTTCTGCCCCTCCCCCTTCCACTTTCAGTGCAGTGGCGGTCGCAGAGGGGGATCAGGGCCATGCCCTTCCCCCCTCCAAAGGCTAATCAGGGGGCCATCATATCATTTGCCCCCCCCCCCCAAACAACCAATGGGCCCCCATGGGCGTATGGGGCTCTGGCCCTTATTAGATTGTCACGAGACTCAAGAATCCCACGCTAGCTATTAACAGCTCCCAAACCGGTCTTTGAGGGTCCTACACTGATCTCGGAGGGCCCTTCAGTGGCGGTCAAGCGCCCACATTGACCGCTGAGAACCCACATTGACCTCATTTGAGGGCCCCTAAACCGGCCTCAAGGGCCCAGCCGGCGTCTGAGGGCCTCACACCGGCCTCTGGTGGCCTCATTTCTGTCTCTGGGGTCCCAAGACTAGCCTTTAGGTACCTTTGAGGGCCCCGCACTGAATTCTGAAGACCCGATGCCGGCCTCTAAGGGTCCGCATCGGCCTCTGAGGGTCCACCTTGGCCTGAGGGGTCCAACGCCGGCCCATGCCGGTCTTTTAGGGCCCCACACTGACCTCTAAGGGCCCATGCTGACCTGTAAGGACCCACATTAGCCTATGAGGCCTTGCACGGGATTCTGAAAACCTGATGCCGGCCTCTGAGGCCCATCTTGGTTTTTGAGGGCCTTCTGCTGGTCTCTGGGTTCCAACACCGGCCCATGCCGGTATTTTAGGGTCCCACATTGACCTCTAAGGGCCCCGCACTGGATTCCGGAGATCCGATGCCGGTCTCCAAGGGTCCGCATCGGCCTCTGAGGGCCCACCTTGGCCTATGAGGGCCCTCCGCTGGTCTCTAGGTTCCAAGTCCCGCCCATGCCGGCACTTAGGGTCCCACACTGACCTCTGAGGGCCCATACTGGCCTGTAAGGACCCACATTAGCCTCTGATGGCCCAAGTCGGCATCTTAAGGTCTCATCCTGCCCTTTGCAGGCCCTGTACTGGTCTCTGAGGGCCTTAACCCTCGCCGGCCGGGGGGGGGGGCGGGTGCCGCCCATCCATAGGTTTTTTTCGCGATAGCTCCGAACACGCCGGCGATAGAGAGCTGAAGCTTGGCATACCTGACCTTTGAATCAAACGGGATCTTTTGACACCAACCGCATTTTCGGGTCAGATCAGGTCACTGACCCATGTGGTCATAAGTGAACCTCTGCACGGTCTTCAGATGTCGCAACTTCGCAACACCCTCACTGCCAGAGGAGATTTCACAGGGAAATGAACCTTGGAGGACCTAGTATCCAATAGGAGTCTCTCAACTTGTATAATGTATATCTCGGATTTTTCCTAAAGTTCATATGAGGTCAGGTCATTTTCGTGACCTCACCATTAGGTATAAGTAAGTCAATGGGGATAAACTGAAAACTTTTTCTGGCGCCGGGAACGATCGATCTCCAACTATCTCAAGCACACCGAATCGTGATTTCATGCACTCCTTGCAAGGTTCGATGCGTCACTTTTGCAATGTTGACCTTGCGCGACGTCATTTATGAAGTTATAAGGGTCTTATTAGTTTTTCGTCAATAACTAGGTACCGATCAAATTGAGCTAGCGAGTCGGGAAAGCCACCTATGGACTCAAGAAGACCTGCCGAATCGAATGATATGCGACATGACCATGACCTCCTTCGACCAATTTCGTGACCTGGGGACGCCGACCTGACCGTGACCCGAGGTCAACACCCTAAGTTTACCTCACCCAAACAAAAAGTATATCATTCGACGCGCCTGAGAGAGTCGAACACGATGCTGGCAAAATCGCGGCTCTGCGGCCATTTTTTTGCGAAGTTATTCACCAAAAACGGAACCGTGCCTTGAGGCACTTGACCTGACCTCAGAGGTCACCGGTTTTTGTTTGTTTTGTTGGGTTAGGCCCTTTCGGTCCAATGAGACCATTTCAGAACCGGAAGGATGATAGGATATAGGGGGAGACATTGGTCTGGGCAGGCACCCTAGTGAGTCGCCGGGGCTGAGCCCGTCCAGAGGACAGGCCACCCAGCCCCAAGGCACTCACTGCACCCGGCTACGGGGTGCGCTCCCTCGGGAGCAGCGGTGCCGCTCCAGGGGAGCAGCCCGCATGAGATAAAGTTGCCTGTCCAGCCCGGAGGGGGTTGCGGTGTAGAGGAGAAGGATTTCAGTATCCTGAGGATAGAAGCACGGAACGGTGTCAGAGGTCACCGGTTGACCTAGGACCATAAAATCGGGTATCGATCTCTGCGTCTCGTAACGGCGCACACGCTCGTTTTACCGCGACGCGCTAGCTCCACCTGGGGCGAAACGGCGAAGGGGGTCGTACCCGCCCCCCGCCCCCTCGGCCAGCGCGTATGTAGAAAACCTATAGGACCGGGCCGTGGAGGGTTAAACTGACCTCTGAAGGCCCAGACCGTCTAAAAGTCCCACACCGGCCTCTGATAAGTGATAGTCAATCAGCCCAGTTGCAGTGGTCGCTGATATAAAACCTCTTAAAAACGTTATAGGCCTGGCTGAGCCTAGCTGGGCCGTTCATGCTGATTTTTATAGGTATATTGAAAAGACTCGCTTTGCACGTTTCACGCTTGCTCGTAATGAAAAAGTTGCTGGATGCCTCTGGAAGTTGCATGGGTGCCAACGGCTGCGGAGGACAGGGGAACGCGTCCATCAGTTTGAGTTTATGGACGGGAGACTCCCTGAAATTGCAACCAATTTATTTCTCTTTTTTTTGTCTCGATTTATTTTTTACCTCTGAGCATGTTTGCGAAAACA